TTTCACTAGCCCACCTTTCTGCCAATAGTTGTTTATATCTCACCCTAACTTCCTCCTCCCTTAGTTTATACACTTTCACCTCTCTTTTACTTGTTGCTGCCATTTTCCTTTTGTCCCATCTACCTCTTACTTTAACTATAACTACAACTAAATAATGATCCAATATATCAGTTGCCTCTCTGTAAATATGTACATCCTGAAGCCTACCCATCAACCTTTTATGCACCAATGCATAATCTAACAAACTACTTTCATTACGTGCTATATCATACCTTGTATACTTATCCTTTTTTTCATAAAATATGTATTACTTATTACTAAAAACCATAGCTCAATTAAAGGCTCCCCATTTTCATTTACCCCTGGCACCCCAGATTTACTTACAGCTCCCCTCTCAACATTTTTACCCACTTTAGCATTGAAATCCCCAACCACCATTACTCTCACACTTGGTTCAAAACACCCCACGCACTCACTCAACATTTCCCAAAATCTCTCTCTCTTCTCTACACTTCTCTCTTCTCCAGGTGCATAAACGCTTACTATAACCCACTTTTCACATCCAACCTTTATTTTACTCCACATAATCCTTGAATTTATTCATTTATATTCCTTCTTTTCCTGCCATAACTTATCCTTCAATATTATTGGTACTCCTTTAGCTCTAACTCTATTTGAAACCCCTGACCTAATCCCATTTATTTCTCCTCACTGAAACTCTGCCACCCCCTTCAGCTTTGTTTCACTTAAAGCCAGGACATCCAGCTTCCTCTCATTCATAACATCCACAATCATCTCTCTTATTCTTTCAACTTCCACACACATTCAAACATCCTACTTTGACGGTTTTTTCTTTTTCTTTTAAGTAGGCTATACAGGTGAAGGGATTACTAGCCCATTGTTCCCATCATTTTAGTTGACTTTTGCAACACTAGTATGCAGAATAAATCTTTATTTGGACAACGTTTCCTCTATAAGTAGAAGTTTTTCAATGCGTGGAAGCTCTGCTCAGCTAAGCGTTGTCCAAATAAATGCTTGTTTTATATTCATGTACTTGTCTTTGCCCACAGCCGTTTCATTCCTGACCTGTGTCAGTGTGGAGAAATTTTCTCCAGGAGGGGGTATCAGCCCCCTTCAGCCCCTTCAGCCCCTTTCAGCCCTGAGGGGCCCAGCCCTCTCAGAAGGGGCAAGCGTCTTGTTTACTGCTACAGTGAGTAATTGATCACAGATGCCGTACGAGTATGCGAAGTGGTCAAGTGACCGCTGCTCCTTGCAGTCCTGTGTTGCAAAGTGTAGCTTAATAAAAGACAGTTCATCTCTTACTTTAGCAGGACAATTAAGGAAAATCCTGCTCCCACTTTACTACCATGGTAAAGATAGTGGACATTGTTGTCTATGCTTAAGACAGCAAGAATCAAACATTCTGCTTTGCTTCATCGAGGAAGTGGCAAGGAAGCAAAAGTACTATGTCAGCTTTTTTTTGTGCTAGGGGAGTAACGGCGTGGGGCGCTGTGGCGTCTTCAGATTACTTTGACTCTACTGAGAGTGACACTGACGCCAGGATAACCAACAGAGAACGATCTGTGCATTAGTGTGAACAAAGTGTCTCACAAAACACAATAAACACTTAAGAGAAGTGTGATCAGCTTCTTTAGTGATAAGATTGTGAACAATAAAGACAAATCTTGTGGAACATAGTGTACCAGTGTGCGTATTCCTAGACTATGGAAGACGTGGACATCCAAGGACACTTCAGCTTCTATCAAGTCACCGATATCTGTCGAAGGTGTGAAGAACACCATAGCTCATGCTACAAGAGCAAGGTAGGTTACGAATTTCTTGTAGTACGGGGGACTGCGCAGTTCTTGAGTCGCAAGGAGTTTGTAATCAACCTATAGTCGGCAGTAAGGTGCGGACTTTTGAGTCCAAACAAGTACGTAATTTATCAGCAATCAGTGAATGAAATATGCTGACATAACACCCCCTAGGGGTAATTTATAATCTTACAAATTATAACTCTTTACAGCCCGTTGAGAGATGACTTCGACAGCTTCTCAAGACCTCGTCTGCAGGGGCGGCTGTGCAGGCGATGAGCTGTCTTTCTAAGTTACGTACAAACTCTTTAAACTTAGCTGGTAATGCCATTTCTCAACAGTCAGGACGCACTTGTGTTTTCTGACGAATCTTACCTAAGCTAATCCAACTCCCTGAAAATGAACGGGTTGTCCTACCTACCTGTCTCCAGGTAGGTAGGAAAAAAGGCCCGAACTGAGAAATTGCTTTGAAACAGCTTATGCATGTACTAGATAGTAGAATTATATCAGTATCTTAAGTATTCCTGGATGTCATATGTTAAGCAAGAGTCGCAAATAAACAATAGCTAATCACTAGGAAGCAGAGACGAGCTTTGATCTGCACCATGCTTACTCTAGTGCTGGGACCGGTGTTGTGTCTGCTTAAGATGTTATGTGTCGGCAGTACTGGTGGCCCATTATATCTGTATGAAAACGCTGACTGACGCTAAAATATATCTCTTCCAGTCATTTGCCATTCTAGGTATGTGCGTTGATGCTGGTGAAGAATTCTTGTTACAAGGAATAATAATAATTTTTATTTCTTCGAGTACATAATACAACTTGTGCAGACCTAGCTGACATACTGTATAGAAAGCCTCTTGTTATGCAGTGCATCTCGGGCAAATTAGGTTAATTCTGTCCCCGGGATGCGACCCACACCATTCGGCTAACACCCAGGTACATATTTACTGCTAGATTAACAGATAAAGCACCCCAATGTTTCTACCCATACCGGGGATCGAACCACGGACCTCAGACTCCTCAGTTGCTAAAGTTATCCACCCTTCCCTTGTAGCAAACCCGATTACCTTCCATTTCCCAGGCGCTGACTGACTCAACGGGTTTACTGCATAGTGAATATAATCTCAAAATTTTGCACAAGTGTATACCTGCAGCTCAAGCAGGAACGTTATGGGAGACCATGCAAGCATGGGCTGGAAAAGAGTGCTGCAACTTGCTAGACATAACAAACACGAAGTGTCAACATCCTGTACTCAGTAGAGAAGTTTTGTGCAGACTCAACAAGTTATCCAATGTAAACACACGAGGTAAAATACGAGTAATGTGTTCCTGCAAAGGTCTCCTCCAGGCAAGAAGTTCTACCACCCACATATGTTGCCATATATTTCTCCATAAACTTACTCATTACCACAATACTCATTCTCTTACCATAAGTTGTTACTCGGTCCCCATACTGCGTTTTTATAGGGGGGGGGGGGCTATTTGCTGTTACATATACGATTTTATAAGTTCATCTAAGCTAACCTCCAACGTCAGTAGGTGTGGCTTTTTTAAAGCATGGAATTAGGCCTGTGTTCTCCCCTTGATCAAACCTGAATGCCTCCCATTCCCACTAGGTGTTGTGTGACCCCGATGGGTTTAGCACTCCTTCATGAATTTAATAGTAATAATCCTCCAACGTCAGTATACCAACGCTGTAAGCAGCTACACTGTCCCGTGCTGCCAAACGTAAACCGTCCATATATGCTAATAATCTTCAAAAATAAGTTTTATATGTAGTCTCTGAAAATAAATTTGAAAAATGAAGATAAAAACTGGTAAGAAAGAGGGAAGAAGCAGCTTATATACAACACTCTTCAAGAAGGTACCATGATGTTGTTTATGTTCTTTTGATTCATGGAATTTTAGTCGCCCTTCCCTGCCGTAGATCAAACTTGATTATTTTTCATTTCCCAAGCGGCTTATGACCCTTACGGGTTTAACATTTACCCATAATAATAATAATAATAATAATAATAATAATAATAATAATAATAATAATAATAATAATAATAGTAATTAGAAACAAAACAAAGCTGTTTTTTATTAACAAAATTAGGTGCAACAGAAGTGTGTCACTACTCGTACGTCAGCTTGCGTGCGGCCAGCAGTAACAGCCTGGTTGATCAGACCCTGATCCACCACGAGGCCTGGTCTCAGTCCGGGCAGCGGGGGCGTTGACCCCCGAAACCTTCTCCAGGTAAACTCCAGGTAATCCGTATGATATTTTACTCCTTCAGCCTGAAGGCCTTCCATTCCCTCAGGTACTGTATGACCGCCGCCTATGGGTTTAGGGTTCCCCATAAATAAAATAAGACATTTCAGCAGGTTAGAGTAAGAAGTTCTGTTTACGAAACACGACCATCAAACAGGGTGGATTTCCTGTCGCACTCGATCACACAGGATATTTTTCACATGCAGTTATGAAACCTGTCGACCTAAGATGAAAGATTACTCAACACAAAGATTGATCCTTATTCTTTAGAGGCACTGAACCTACTTCAGATACATAAGAGTGCATAAAAAAAACGAAAATCAGTAGTTATGATTTTCATACAACTGCAATGATGTAAATTCACATGAACATGTTTATTGTATAAAGCCCATCCTCTACAGGTTGTTTGTACTGTCCACCACCAGTCAAGAAGATATATATGCCTAGAGTTTACTGGTTAACTAAGTGTATGTATACTGAAACAACACAAAGCTGTTTTTTTATTAACAAAATTAGGTGTAACAGAAGTACATGCACTGCTTCTCTCAGTCAGGAAACAGGACAAGTGTTTCCTGACGCCGGTCTTAGTGATATGATGACCTGCAGCTGAATCTTTTGGTCATCTGACCGAGGTCTTCTACTGGCTTACCGGTCCACTCCTTTAACAAATTATTGTTTTAATTATAACCATTACTTACATTTACAAAGCAGAAGTAACATTAATCTTTTTAAAAATTAATGGAAGATTTTTATATCAAAGCCATGCGAAGATAGCAATAATTTATACTGGTGACAAAAACTATTTTTTATCTTATCCTCCATATCTCTATCACTTTATTTTCGCAAAATAATGTAAATTTGCTCCTGTGGTAATATGATTATGGCATGAGAGTGCCGGATTGCCAGGAACTGCCAAGAGATGGCGGGACGAGCGCTCAGCCGCTCATCTTCCTCAGTATATAAACATCAGTGACGAGGGGTGGGTGGTGTACACTCTCCTTCTGGACTATTCACTTGATTGCTGGATTTATGGCTCCAGGGCCTTAGGGTCACTTCGCACAACTCCACCGGAAAGGTCAGTAGATGACGACGGGGAAGGTATAGGGTGTAAGTTCACTGTTTTTTGGGAAATTTTGAGGGAAAACCTCAGGCAGATGGCAGTTGTGTTGGCCAAGGATGACCAGCACTAGCATTATTACTCCTCAGATTCCTCACTGGGACGTTACTCTGCCTTCCCGCGTTTGTATAACCTTTATAGAAATCACAGCTCCATGGGTGCTTCCTTTAATTAAGCCGAAACTAACCAGCTTTCGAGAGGCTTAAAAAAAAAAAAAGTCTTATCATTTTTCATCCTCGTGCCTCTGTGCCATGTTTACGTTGTGGCATTTACATGTGTTTTCACATGTTACTGGTTTTCCAGTTTCCCATCTTGATCTATACACATTGCTGCAGTTATTTGCACTAGGCATACTCAAGCTTTTCTTACCTTTTTCTGCTTTTCTAAGGTTATAATCAAGTTGTATAAGGCATTCATATTTTACATAATATTTGATCGTATCAGGTCAAGCTTCCAGTGTAAAGCTATACAGTATATTATTTTTCTTTCAAGTAACTGATCTTTTTAAAGCTTGACATCTTTGACTGGATAATACATGCTGAAGTTCTAGTTAAAGATACGCGTGCACAGTTAGACATTTATTGGGGAAACGTATCTCCATAAGAGCGAAACGTTTTCTTAGTAAATGTTTTGAGCTGTGCATACATCTAACTACATATTTTGGTATCACTAGGTATGTTGGTATTAAGTACCAGGTGTGGTGGATGTTAATGGGGTTCTTCGCCCCCGATCTCCGATCATTCTTCATAAATTGGATGAGATTTAACTGCAATTTTTCATGTTCTTGAAACTAAAGGAAAGACCAGTAGTCCTGTCAAAGTGCAAAACATTTAACAGGCTTATGTTTCACAATCAATACAGGACGTTGGTACCTCCCTTTTGGGTTACTGTCTACCCACCTACTGCCTACTATGATATTACGCTTACATTATGATAGTGAAAGTGTATATTAATAAAGCAGCAGTAAATTATTATGGTAACAGTTTATGATCACCTGAAGATTCGTTCCCTCGAAAGAAAATAGTGAAAATTTTTGTAGATGATATATGTTGGCTGCCATGTTAGTTTTAGTGGATAAAAAAAAATACTTGCTAGCTATATTTCATTTTTTTGTGAGTAGGGAATCATCAGATCAGTTTATATTATGATCTTAACAGTTTATGACCGTAATAGTTTATATTGATTATAATAAGGACCCCAGTGCAAATAAGTCACTGACTTTTTTGGGTTATCCTAGGTTCTGTATATATATGCTGTTATGTATGATGATGTAACTGCATTTGTGTATACCTGAATAAACTTACTATTGTGCGTGTGTCGCCCCGCCTCTTAAGTGCTCACGACAGTCGTAATTTTTAGCTTCTTGGGCCTTGTCGTGCCCAGTCTTAAAATTGTGTATGGAATCTGCCACTGCTGCTTCTCGTTCAGGTCATTACACTTCTTAATCACACGTGATCGAAGAAGTGATCCTAGAGTTTCCTGTGACCACATCTCTCAGCAACCATTAATGCAGGCTTGTTCCAGATCCCAGCTTATCAAACACACTATTTTGCGTCTCCCTCTCCCTCGTCCCTTCACTTCGTATCTTCGGAGTATTTTGTATGTTGTGAGTATACCATTTCGAGCTCTGTTTTATATTGTAAGGTTTTTTTCTTTTAGTTTTTCTACAATTCATTATCTTCATCTAGGTTAGACTTGTAGCAGATAGACGCATGACGAAACTTGAAACTTTAAGATTCAGGACACTCTTCGTCAAACATGGGCTCCAAATATATACGTAGATTGGAACTTTTCTCAGGGGTAAGGGAGGGGAAACGCGGAAGAATTTTGTCCCGATTTTTAAGTGCCATAATTTCCCTACAAACACTACGATGAACTTAAAATAGCACAGAGGTTATAGTATTGGAGAAAGTACTAACAAGCATGATTGGAAACCACTTGGATTCCCAAAAACTACACAATCCAGGGCAACATGGGTTCAGAGCGGGTCGCTCGTGCCCCTCACTACTAATGGATCACTATGATATGGTTTTGGGTGCACTGGAAGGCAAACAGAATGCAGATGTAGTATATACAGTTTTCAAAAGCCTTTGACAAGAGCGATCATGGTGTAATAACGCACACAATGGGTGCTCAAAGGATAACTGGCAAAATGGGCAGATGGATCTTCAACTTTCTGATCAATCGAACACAGACTAGTAGTAAACAGAGTTAAATCGGAAGCTGCCACTGTGAAAAGCTCTGTTCCACAAGGCACAGTGGTCTCCCCCCATCCTGTTCCTCATTCTCATATCAGACATAGAGATGTAAACCATAGCACCGTGTTAGCCTTTGCAGACGATACTAGGATTTGCATGAGACTGTCATCCAATGAGAACCTCCAAGACGATATAAACCAAGTTTTCCAATGGGCACAGAAAAATAATATGATGTTCAGTGAAGACAAATTCTAACTTCTCCGTTATGGAAAACTGGAGGAGATAATAACTAGAAATGAGTATACATGTACTACAAACTTTAATCATACAATAGAACAGAAAAATAATGTGAAGGACCTGGGAGTGGTAATGTCTGCGGATCTCACTTTCAAAGATCACAACAGTGCCACTATCACATTTGAGAAGAAAATGATAGAATGGATAATGAGAACGTTCAAAACAAAAGATGCCAAGCCATTGATGATCTTTTTTTAAATCACTTGTTCTCTCTAGGCTGAAATACTACTGTACATTAATATTTCACTTCGAAGCAGGCGAAATTGCAGATCTAGGGAATGTACAAAGAACCTTTACTGCACATATAAGTTTCGTCAAACACTTCAACTACTGGGAACGCTTGGAAGAACTTAGGCTTGTACTCGACTGAGCGCAGGCGAGAGATATACATCATAATCTACACTTGGAAAATCCTAGAAGGAATGGTCCCTAATCTGCACAGAGAAATAACTCCCTACGAAAGCAAAAGACTGGGCAGGCGGTGCAAAATACCCCCAATGAAAAGTAGGGGCACCATTGATACACTAAGAGAAAACACAGTAAGTGCCCGGAGCCCAAGACTGTTCAACAGCCTCCCACCAGGCATAAGGGGAATTAATAAAAAACCTTTGGCTGCCTTCAAGAGGGAGCTGGACAGATACTTAAAAGTCGGTGCCAGATCAGCCGGGCTGTGGTTCGTATGTTGGGCTACGTGCGGCCAGCAGTAACAGGCTGGTTGATCAGGTCCTGATCCACAGGGAGGCCTGGTCGTGAACCGGGCCGCAGGGGCGTTGATCCCCGAAATACCCTCCCGGTAGACTTCGGGTTGACTACCATTTTTTAGTCTTGATAAAATTGAAAGTAAAACAGTTTACCTGGAGAGGATTTCGGGGGTCAACACCCCCGCGGCCCGGTCTGAGACCAGGCCTCATGGTGGATCAGGGTCTGATCAACCAGGCTGTTACTGCTGGCCGCACGGAAGCTGACGTACGAACCACAGCCCGGTTGGTCAGGTACTGACTTTAGGTGCCTGTCCAGTGCCTTCTTGAAGACAGCCAGGGGTCTATTGGTAATCCCCCTTATGTGTGCTGGGAGGCAATTGAAGTCTTGGGCCCCGGGAACTTACTGTGTTGTCTCTGTGTACTTGTGGCGCCCCCTGCTTTTCATTGGGGGAATGTGCATCTGCCGAGTCTTATGCTTTCATATGGAGTGATTTTCGTGTGCAGGTTTGATACCAGTCCCTCCAGGACCTTCCAAGTGTATATTATCATGCATCTCTCTTGCCTGCGTTCGAGGGAATACAGATGAAGGACCTTCAACCGCTCCCAGTAAATTAGGCGCCTCATCGCACTTGTGTGCCGTGAAAGTTTTTGTACACTCTCCAGGTCTGCAAGGTCGCCAGCCTTGAAGGGGGCCGTTATTGTACAACAGTATTCCAGCCTAGAGAGCATAAGCGACTTGAAGAGAATCATCATGGGCTTGGCATCCCTAGTTTTGAAGGTTCTCATTATCCATCCTGTCATTTTCCTAGCAGATGAGGTAGATACATTGTTGTGGTCTTTGAAGGTGAGATCCTCTGACATTATCACTCCCAGGTCCTCCACATTTCATTTCTGCTCTCTTATATGGTTAGAATTTGTGGTATACCCCGACACATTTTTAATTTCTTTAAGTTTTCCATATCTGAGTAGTTGAAATTTCTCCTCGTTGAACTTCATATTGTTTTGAGTGGCCCATTCGAAGATTTGGTTGATGTCCGCTTGGAGTCTCGTGGTGTCTTCGATGGAGGTCAGTACCATAGTGATCCGGGTGTCATCCGCAAAGGAAGACACGGAGCTATGGCTTACATCTCTGTCAGAAATGAGGAGGAACAGAATGGGAGCGAGTACTGTGCCTTGTGGAACAGAGCTTTTTACTGTGACTGCCTAGGACTTTACTCCGTTTACTATTACTCTTTGTGTACTATTTGTCAGGAAATTGTAGATCCATCTACCAACTTTTCCCCGTTATTCCTTTATCCCGCATTTTGTGTGCTATTACACCATGGTCACACTTGTCGAAAGCTTTTGCAAAGTCTATTTTGTTTATCCTCTACAGCATCCAGGACCTTGTCATAGTGGTCCAATAGCTGGGACAGGCAGGACCGACCTGCTCTAAACCCGTGTTGCCCTGGGTTGTGTAATTGATGGGTATCTAGGTGGTAGGCTCTCTTGCTTCTTAGAACCCCCTCAAAGATTTTTATGAAATGGGATGTTAGTGCTATCGGTCTGTAGTTCTTTGTAATCGCTTTACTGCCACCTTTGTGGAGTGGGGCTATGTCTGTTATTTTTTAGTGTGTGTGGGATGACCCCTGTGTCCATGCTTCCTCTCCATAAAATGCTGAAGGCTCTCTTGCTTCTTAGAACCCCCTCAAAGATTTTTATGAAATGGGATGTTAGTGCTATCGGTCTGTAGTTCTTTGTAATCGCTTTACTGCCACCTTTG